GGCGCCTGGGGCTTTGGTGTGGCAAAGCCGGGCGGGCGCGGGACTCCGCGGTCGCTGTGGCTTTGCTCCCGGTGCCCCTGGTCTGCTGGAGATGGTCCCCAGCAGACCGGGGCACCGGGAGCAGCTTTTCTCACTCCAGAGGACGCGGTGGCGGGACCGCTGTGCTCTGGGCGGTCCCGCCGCCCGCGAGCTCCGGGGTGAGAAAAGCCCCGTTCGTAAGTGCGGATCCGACATAAGTCGGATCCGCGTAAGTCAGGAACTGCCTGTATAGCCAATGATGGAGATTCCACAACCTCCCTAGGTAATTTAATCCAATGTTTAACCACCCTGACAGGAAGTTTTTTCTAATGTCCAACCTAAACCTCCCTTGCTGCAGTTTAAGCCCATTGCTTCTTGTTCTAGCCTCAGAGGCCAAGGAGAACAATTTTTCTCCCTCTTCCTTGTAACACCCTCTTAGATACTTTCACTTTTACTACAGGAGGCAGAATCATGGGAGACTGCTCCATTCCTCACTCCTGTTGCCAGTGCCTAGGGATCTTTCAGGCATCAGTTCTCAGAAAGGAGCCTCAGCAATGACATCAAAGTCAGTATCTCACACCTCAGTCTCAGCTGATGGGAACTGCCCAGGCTATTAAACCACCCAGGGCCCTGGGACGCACCTGGAAAGCATTATTTAGCCACAGCACTGAGCAGGAAGTGATGTGCCCAATTCGGTGCAGGTTGCCGGAAATTAAGTTGGTTTCATTCAGCCAGCAGCCAAACACATCATAGGGTTTATTCCTCACTCTGGAGAGGAAAGCAGAGTTTTAGCTCCCAGTGAAGTAAGACAGGCCCCATGGGACAAGGATTCAAATCAAAGGCCAACTGATCCCTGAAGCAGAATGGATGTGAAGATGTTCGGTCTCTTATCAGTAAGGCTTCCCACCACTTGCTGCTTTTCGGTGGTGCTATGGTAACTAGCAGCCTAGCTATTCCCCTAGATCATAGAGGGACTGTCTCTTCTTGACACAGTGCCACTATCAATTTAAACAGGGGCCCAAAGTTTTTGAGCCAATCCATCCCCATAAGAAGCTTCCACTTGGGCAGGGAATCCAGGAGGTAGCAGATGATAAGCATCAGCAAAGCTGCCTGTCATGAGAGGAACAGACCAGCTAATGGGATCAGGGGCTACTGGCAGATGGGTAGCCTCAGGCCTGAGCTGTGAGGGAAAACTTGCCCACTGCCCACTCTCCTGCTGCCTGGCTGTGGCAATCAGTGCCTCACTGGCAGCAGCATTAGCACTGCACAAAGATCCCTTTTAAAAAGGGACTCAAATCCCACGCTGAGTCCTGTTCCTAGGCATAGGCCAAGTCACAGCCCAACCATCCTGTCACCTTCTCCTTTCCTTGGACTATCTCAATCTGCTGCCAGTCAGCCAGTTCCACACTCACACCAAGGCAAAGCCAAGCCGAAATGAACATTACCCAGGCTAATAACAGCGATTTCTCCTGACGAAGAGTTGCGAGGCCCCACAAAGACCCCTGACACCAGAAGGAGGGAGTCATCTGAGTTGAACTGGGAAAACTGGGTGTAGCTCCAGTTGTACAGCCTCATGTTGGAACTGTGGAGCAGAGAAATGGCCAGCTCGTTGTTCCAAATCTGAGAGCAAAGGGAACAGGGCAGACTGTTAGAGGCCTGATGACCAGGATACCCAGAGCATGGATGGAGATGTCCAAATCCCAGCCTCACTCCCAAAAAGTCTTTCAGAAGGGAACTGGAGGGTTTGCAGAATTACTGCTATGAACATTTTAGATTAATTTGGTTCCAGTGAGTTCACTGCCTTTGTTACTCATTCCCTCAGCCTCAGAGGCTGCAAAACCCAGAACAGTTGTCCCTCTAAGAGCCCAGTTCTGCCTCCTGATTCGTTTTACAGTCACATACCCTGGATAGCTGGAGACCAGCCATATGATCATATTCATTTCTGACTGCATTGGGCCCCAATGCAGTGCAAGTGGAATTGGAGCTGGGCCATAGGCAGAAGTCACTGGGGAGGACTTCCCTGGCTCCTGGCAATGGAGTTAGTGTCTAGGTATGACCCCTCGCCTTAACTTTGTCCACCTTCCCACCTCCCAAGCAATCAGGTGGACCCAGACAGCTTTCCTCTAGGTAGGGACCAAGGGAACCCAGAAGATGTGCAGACATGTTATTCAGGAACCACCGGATGAGGCACAGAGAGGGTACATGATTCACTCAAATGGACAGTGAGTCAGCAGCAGAGCCAGAAGCCCCAACATCTAGGCCTACAAAACTGTTCAGACTATTTGTTTCATGGGTCTCCTTCCTACTCTCCCAGGACCTGTCCAATAATTGCCCATGCTGGGGTATCATCACATGGTTTAGAGCTTAGGTCAGAAATCTCAGTGAGGGAGAGTTTGGACAAGGGAATTAGCTTCGGTGTCTGTTACAGGAGTGGGTAGGCAAGGGTCTGTGAGTAGGGGATCACACTAGCTGATCATAATGGTCCCTTTACTGTCTATGCATCAAGAGATTGCTTTTCAAAGCCACCTCCAACTCCCCTTCCTATACCAGCGAAACCTTCATCCCTGCACAACCTGCTCACAACCTCTGTTCTTGCCCCCTCCTTGATTTCTATGTGACAAGAGCCATGACACACAGAGAAGCTCAAAGCCCTGCAAGGGAACAAAAGAGGTCTAGTCAATGAGCTCCAAAGATTGCAGTGATAGCCAGCAATTCAGAGGAAGAGCAGACTGAGCACAAAGCTCCACAAACTCAGATGCTCCTGACCTGCTCATCATTCCTTCTCTGCATTCTGGACACAAAGAAGTTTCCATACCAGAATCCCTCCCCACAGTTCCTAACTGGAAGGCTGGACAGCACTAACCAGATGCTCAGCATATCAGAGCTCAACAGAAGATTTTCACACTTGGAGCCTGAATGTGACCAGCCTGTTTGAGTGAATAAACCCCTCAGCACAACAGACGCATGCCTTTTACCTTAACTGTGCAGTCCTTGGAGCAGGATGCAAACAAGTAGCCTGAATGGGAGAAGCTAAGATGTAAGACCTGATCATTGTGCTCTCTCAGGGTCTGCACTTCAACACATGGGATGGTGTCATAGAGCCTTTGGAACTCCTCATACCAGGAAACGGCAGCTGCAACACATGTGAGTAAGAGAGAGGAGTCAGAGCTCAGCATAGATGGAAACCACAAAGCCACATGACTTGTTTACAGCAGTAACTTAACATTTTTTACTGGCATTAGGTTTTGGACAAACTGCAGGATCATGTGCGAGATGTTAGTAATGCTTGCCACAGCAATGTGTACCCTGAGCAAGATCTATGTTTGTAATACTATCTGCACAGATAACCAGGGGAAAAAAGGGCACGAAAAGACAGTTTGCTGTTGCTTTCAAGAAGGGAGGAGACAAGCACATCACGGGAGGATTATGACTTGTACCCAGAACCACCCATGTCCGTGTTTTTGTCCCATCAAGCATTGGGAGTCTGACCCAGAATTCAAATGGGCATCAGGAACTATGGGATGGCTACCCACAGTGCATTACTGTAAGAGTCTATGTAGTCATGGTAGTTATGGATGCACTCTGTCGATCAAATGTTCTTAGTGGGGACATTTGCCTTCGACTTTATAATACTGGATGCTAAGTCATACCCCAAGGTTCTGGCAATTCTTGATTTAGTCCTAAATGAAGCACAGGATCTGGTCCAAGAGGTGAATATAACTGGACCACTTGGAAACAGTGAAACTACACAGAAATGAGGAGATTAGTTAACAGAAATTAAAAGGTACAGTATAAACAGTGAAATCTTGGCAAGCTGCATGGAAACTTTGTAGAGACACCGTCAGAGGCACAAATTAAATGTATACCCAAAATTAAAAACACATAATAAGATAACAAAAAAAGCACCACCATGGCTAAACAACAATGGGAAAGAAGCCGTGAGAGGCAAAAAAGAATTGTTTAAAAAGTGGAAGTTAAATCCTAGTGAGGAAAATTGAAAGGAGCATAAACTCTGACAACTGCAGTGTAAAAATAAAATTAGGAAAGCCAAAAACATTGAAGAACAGCTAGCCAAAGACTCAAGAAGCAGTATTAAAAAAGTGTCAAGATGTTAAAGGAGAACTCAGGGACAAAAAGGTGATTGTGGAGAAACTAAATGTTTTCTTTGCACCAGTCTTCATGGTGTGGTGGAGCATGCTGACAGGAGTGCTTGGAGGAAATCTTTGCTGCTGCTGCTGCCACCACTGGCCCATGCTATTTCTGTTTTGGAAATTAATAGGACTGTGCTCTAACAATCAGCTAACCCAGACCTTCCCAACAGTGCAAAACTGATAACATACTAAACAAATACCAAACCTGGGTGTCGTGGCACTTCCCGAGAAACCCTGTAGTATCTATAGAACAGTTCCTTCCACAGGAATTCATCCCGTGCCACTGCATGCCATTGCTGACACACCAACCCCACCGAAAGCACATCTATGTGGTCCAGGTACAAGAAAATCTCATAGAGGATGCTGTCTGGGAGAAGGGGACTACCCACAACATCCATACTGTCATTGTCACCAAAGGGATCTGAAAACAAACAAAGGGGGAAAGTTGGTATGATAACTAAAGCCCTGTGCAGACACAGAATTTGTATCCACATCTTATTTGCAAAAAAATGAGCTACGGCTATATGCATGGACATTTGCAGATGTAGATAAAAAGTGGTTATCTACAGATTTGCAGGGCTTATATTATAACATTTGGTAGTGTACTGCAGTATTCCCTGAAAGCTGTACACTTTTGCAAATTTTCAGAACTCAAATGTCACCCAGTTGATTAGCAGAACGCCCACAGCTAGGTTTTGTTTCTACTGGTAGTGAACAGTCACACATGCCTCAGTACAAAAAATATTCCACACGGATGGAAAAGATTAGAGAGAACATTGGTGTAACACAATCCTTAATGATTTTCTTCTATTTTCCCCCAAACAGAATGTGCTTTTTAACAAATTTTCTGCTTTTATTTTTTAATATAGCAATTCTTTAAAGCTCCAGAGACAGACACTTACATTTACTATGAAATTATTCACATGAAAGATCAGCCAACACAAACACAGGCCCCAATCCTGCAAATGTCCACTTACAGGCCTAACTTTATTTATGATGATCCAAACACAGGCTGTCAACAGCATTTGATCCTGAGACTTTTTAGCATGAAAGCGCAACTTCTAGTACTTCAGCTAAAGAACAAAATAGATTCGTTGGAGGCAGCTATACTCTGCATGGGCTATCCTGGGTGGTGAGGATATTTTACAAACTTGTATGTAATGTAGTTATAGCCAACCCTAACCTAATACAAAATAGGTAAGGTAACATCTTGAGCAATTTCTGTTGGTGAGACAGATAAGAAGAGCAGCTCTGTGTGGCTCAAAAGTTTGTCTCTCTCACCAAGAGTATTGGTCCAAATAGAGCAATTACCTCATCCACCTTGTCACTTCACAATCTTGTTATATAGGCCCTCCCTCCCCAAGGAGGGGGAAGATCTGTATTTCAGGTTCCAACCTGAGCTTTTGGCGCAAGACAGAAGCACCTAAACAGACCCAAGCTCCAGAACAGATCAGACACTTGTGAGAGGCTGATTCTGCTGGAGGGTAATATATAATAAGGATGTTAAATATTGACTAATTGACTAACCAAATAGTCAATGCATTTTTGCATTGACTATTCAATTAGTCGATAGGGCGATTCCGCCTTTGAAGTGTAGGAACAGCCCTAGAGCTGTTGCTACACTTCAAAGGCAAAAGCGCTCTGTGGAGCCAGGGATCAGCTGGGGACTCCAGATGATCCTGAGCTCCATGCAGTGCTGCACTTTGAAACACCATGAGGAGCCTGACACAAGGCGATTTCAAAGCAGCAGCGCCAGGTGGAGCCATGGGTCAGCGTCCTCAGCTGATCCTGGGCTTCATGTGGTGCTGCCGCTTTGAAACGCCACGGGGAGCCTGACACCAGGCTCCTTGCAGCGTTTCAAAGCAACAGTGCCGCAAGGACCCCAAGATCAGCTGGGGACTCGCCTACTGATCCCATTCTCCATGTGGTGCTGCTGCTTTGAAACACTAGAAGAAGCTTGTTTGAAATGCCAGGAGGAGCTGGTCCTAGGCTGCACGTGGTGTTTCAAAGTGGCAGCGCTGCGTGGAGCCCGGGGTCTGGCTCCAGGCTTCAAGCGGTGCTGCCACTTTGAAGTACCCTCTCCTCTCCCTGCTCACCCTTGCTGCCTCTTTCTCATAGCATTTGCTCATGGGATAATCGACTAGTCCTTCACATTCCTAATATATAACACACTAAGATTTACCCAGCATTGCCTGGGTCCTTATCACAATTCATTTTTGTTTTTCTTCATTTAAATCATTGTTCTGAGTTAGAGCTTTGGATGAGGGGTTCAGTATGTAGGCTGTCCTGGGGAGAGAGGATTACTCTAGCCCTCTTCTCACGGCAGCAGCTTGGGCCAGGCGAGACGTGCCTCTCCGTAACCACCACAGCTCCAGGAGGCACAACTGGGGGAGGGTTACATGTCCCCCAACTGGGGCAGATCCAGGTTCATTTGCCCCCTGTGCTCCCCCCACCAAAATGAGGTATGCAGCGAACTGTGCGCTTTCCCCTCACTCCCTGTTGAAGGGGGCCAGCAATGTTCCCATACAAATTGGAGGAAGGCTTCAGCACCCCCCAGAGCTTCCTTAAGGGGTGGGAAGCCCTGGGCTGGGACAGTCCTAATGGGAGGGCCAGCCCCAAGCCTGGTGATTGTCTCTTTACCGTATGGTTTTCTAAGAAATAATCCCATTCCAAGCACACCCCATTTTCCTAGCACAACCAAACCTTACCTTGCTTTACATTATAAAAGGAAGCTGTATAGCAAATGTGGTGGTTCCAGCTCTTAACATTTAGGAGGAGTTCTCAAACAGACAGACTGTCTCAAATTATAGCAGATTTGTATGTCTCGTCCTGGGAGTGCTCCATGGAAAAGGAACAGTCTACTACTCCTGACAATTAACAGACCTGGTCCTTTAAATCCGTAGAAGGTAAACATCTAAACTTCAGTACTGAAAGTTACAGGCTCAAACACTGCTGATAGCCCACAGCGGACTTTGAATGCAATGGGGTACTCATATGTGAAATAGCAGCAGCAAACTGGCTACATTTAGGGCCTGATGCTGCTTTCACTGAATTCACTGGGAGGAGGACTGAGCCCTAAGTCTTTTTTGATTATCTGCATTCACACCACACCTTGATAACAAGTACACATCTATAGCATCTTTCCTCTTAAGATCCCAAAGACCTTTATGAAAATCAATTCTCACTCACTCCTGTGAGACAGGAATGATTCTTATGCTCATTTTACAGCTGGGGAAACTGAGGTGCCTGTGCACGGATACGGCTTGTGCCATTCTGTAAATCAGTAGCAGAACTATTGCCCTGCTACAGCCACTGGACAATGCTCCCGCTTGGCTCCTTCATCTCAACGGCCCAGAGCTGGATTTCAAAGGCAAGGGGCCGCGGCTGAGACCAGCAAGTGAAACGCGTCTGGAGCTTTGTCTCGGGGCGATAGCG